TAGCATGATCTGGGACCCTGGGCTTCAATAGCAGTAACTAAAGTCATGTCAAACTGTATCATCTCTTTGTGGAGCAGGAAAAACTCTAGAAAAACAGGACTGAATCGTCCGTCTCCTTCCACTCTCTTCTTTGTCACGCTGAGTGCCTAACTGGCTGATGAACTTCGTCTTATTTTGGTAGACACTGACACAAGCTGGCCTATGGTGGGAGGCAGAAACTTGAGTAGTGATGGAGATGGAAGAGGCAGAGAACCAGAGAAGCAGGCATAGTGTGCAGAAAATAGTTTTAAATTTGTCTTTACAAATTGAATTTGTCAGTCATTGACATCATGAGTTATATTTTTTTTCCACATTTGGGGACCACGATCTAGTGTTAGGAGTGGAAGGCAGGAAATCTGGGTATTATTCCTAGCTCTGCTATGGACTCTCTGATCTTGGATTCTTTCTCTGTAGGGTGTTGAGGTTTCATTAATTACAGTTTACAAATCTCAATACCATTTTACTATTGCAATACGCTTTACCATGGCAGACTTGTTTACTTTGGAAATTTATTAAGCATTGTGCAATATAATTTTCCAGTTCCTCCAAATGTCTCTTGGAAGTTGCAGACTGGTTTCTGTCCAAAACAAAAGAAATCCCCATGAGTCCATCTTGAATAATACTTGTTTTTTACACTTTGTATTTTAAGTTACTTGACCATAAAAGTGGTATTCTTTTATTTCAAGAAACACTACAAATACAGAAAGGAAGGAATAGCAATGAAAGGAGAGAGACTGTCAAAAATCATTAAAATATTTAATAGAAAGCTGATGAAATGAAAGGTCAAGTCCTTGAGAAATTTTCTCTTGGAAACAGCTGACAAACCTTTTTATCTTTGGTCCCTTCTTTTCATGTTTGTTTTCAAAAAATCACATTTGATTTTGACATTTTGCCTTTTCTTTTTTACCATTATCAAGCTGTGTGTTGATTATAGTTAGTAAGGGTAGGAGGGTTTGTTTTGTGTTAATACTGGGCAAGAAATAGTGCTATTTATATTTCAGTCAGCTACCAGATCCCGCAATAGAGGATCAAGGAAAGGAACACGTGCAACCTGTATTGACCGAATATGCAGCTTTGTGCGTTCGTTGCCCGGGATATGGAACAAGGTAAAATAAATACTTCAAGGCAAAATAGACAACTATTGTATCAAGACATATATCTAAAGTCAAATGCTGCCATAAAATTTAACATGCTAGACCATAAAATGGGTTTGTTCAGTGAATTTAATATCTATGCATAAGTTTAATCACTTGTAATCCATAGATTATCTTCTTCTATTCTGATCTTTTTTTATTCCTAGCTTTGTGTCTTAGACATTGCTTGAAATGCCCATCAGTACCTGCTTTACCAAAAGCAACTACAGCATTTGCTCAAGAAACTTCCTGAAAAAGCACAAGATCAAATCCGCACAGACACACCCCTGGAACCCCGACCTGGGATATTCTATCTACTACCCAAGATCCATAAACCTGGAAATCCTGGGCGCCCCATCATCTCAGGCATTCGCACCCTGACAGCAGGATTGTCTGGCTATGTAGACTCCCTCCTCAGCCCTACGCTACCAGCACTCCCAGCTACCTTCGAGACACCACTGACTTCCTGAGGAAACTTCAATCCATCGGTGATCTTCCTGATAACACCATCCTGGCTACTATGGATGTAGAAGCCCTCTACACCAACATTCCACACAAAGATGGACTACAAGCCATCAAGAACACTATCCCCGATAATGTCACGGCTAACCTGGTGGCTGAACTTTGTGACTTTGTCCTTACCCATAACTATTTCACATTTGGGGACAATGTATACCTTCAGATCAGCGGCACTGCTATGGGTACCCGCATGGCCCCACAGTATGCCAACATTTTTATGGCTGATTTAGAACAACGCTTCCTCAGCTCTCGTCCCCTAAAGCCCCTACTCTACTTGCGCTATATTGATGACATCTTCATCATCTGGACCCAGGGAAAAGAAGCCCTTGAGGAATTCCACCATGATTTCAACAATTTCCATCCCACCACCAACCTCAGCCTGGTCCAGTCCACACAAGAGATCCACTTCCTGGACACTACAGTGCTAATAAACAATGGTCACATAAACACCACCCTATACCGGAAACCTACTGACCGCTATTCCTACCTGCATGCCTCCAGCTTTCACCCTGACCACACCACACGATCCATCGTCTACAGCCAAGCTCTGCGATACAACCGCATTTGCTCCAACCCCTCAGACAGAGACAAACACCTACAAGATCTCCGTCAAGCTTTCTTACAACTACAATACCCACCTGCAGAAGTAAAGAAACAGATTGATAGAGCCAGAAGAGTTCCCAGAAGTTACCTACTACAGGACAGGCCTAACAAAGAAAATAACAGAACGCCACTAGCGGTCACCTTCAGCCCCCAACTAAAACCCCTCCAACGCATTATTAAGGATCTACAACCTATCCTAAAGGATGACCCAACACTCTCACAAGTCTTGGGAGACAGGCCAGTCCTTGCCTACAGACAGCCCCGCAACCTGAAGCAAATACTCACCAACAACCACATACCACACAACAGAACCACTAACCCAGGAACTTATCCTTGCAACAAAGCCCGTTGCCAATTGTGCCCACATATCTATTCAGGGGACACCATCACAGGGCCTAATAACATCAGCCACACTATCAGAGGCTCGTTCACCTGCACATCCACCAATGTGATATATGCCATCATGTGCCAGCAATGCCCCTCTGCCATGTACATTGGTCAAACTGGACAGTCTCTACGTAAAAGAATAAATGGACACAAATCAGATGTCAAGAATTATAACATTCATAAACCAGTCGGAGAACACTTCAATCTCTCTGGTCACGCAATCACAGACATGAAGGTCGCTATCTTAAAACAAAAAAACTTCAAATCCAGACTCCAGCGAGAAACTGCTGAATTGGAATTCATTTGCAAATTGGATACTATTAATTTAGGCTTAAATAGAGACTGGGAGTGGCTAAGTCATTATGCAAGGTAGCCTGTTTCCTCTTGTTTTTTCCTACCCCCCCACCCCCAGATGTTCTGGTTTAACTTGGATTTAAACTTGGAGAGTGGTCAGTTTGGATGAGCTATTACCAGCAGGAGAGTGTAGTGTGTGTATGGGGGTGGGGAGGATGTGAGAGAACCTGGATTTATGCAGGAAATAGCCCGACTTGATTATGTAAAGAGTTGTCACTTTGGATGGGCTAGCACCAGCAGGAGAGTGAATTTGTGTGCGGGGGTGGAGGGTGAGAAAACCTGGATTTGTGCTGGAAATGGCCCACCTGATGATCACTTTAGATAAGCTATTACCAGCAGGACAGTGGGGTGGGAGGAGGTATTGTTTCATATTCTCTGTGTATATATAAAGTCTGCTGCAGTTTCCACGGTATACATCTGATGAAGTGAGCTGTAGCTCACGAAAGCTCATGCTCAAATAAATTGGTTAGTCTCTAAGGTGCCACAAGTACTCCTTTTCAATTTGTCAAACAGTTACTAATGATGCTAGCTATAACTTCCTTAAAGTTAAGTAACTTTACCCTTTCAAAAATGTGTGGTTTTTTTTGCTATCCCACCTCTTCCTGTTGAGAACCTCAGCTTCAGAAAGTTTTTTTATATTTTTAAAAAGTTCATTGAGTCAAAAAATCACACTGTCCCTCTCAGAACACACACACACGAACAAGTTACTGCAACAGCTTCTTCTAAGTACATGAAAATGCTTTACTTGACATTGTAGTCCACAGCAAAATTACTGCATGCAGCAGCCTCTCAGTTGCCTCTTTCTTCCTCTATTCATCAATCTTCAGGAAACCAGGTGAAACCTGAAATCTCCTAAGGTTACCAAATCCAGGCTTTGGCTCCCCTTCTGGAATGAGCTGGAGTATTTTGCATATCCTATGCCACAGTTGAATATAGCAGGGAAAAGAAGGAATTATACCACCACTAGAGGGGTCTGTTGCATTTTTAGAGCACCCATCTATGTAGTATGTAGTCACTGCTCATTCCCACATCCTTTTTTTCTATTTTTGAGCTCCATTTTATTTTTTCCTTGCTTTTTTCATTCTCCCCTTTTCCTTTGTTTTCCCTCCATCCCCCATTGTACCTTTATTTTAACATTTAGTTTGCCTTTTTGCCAGCTATATGTGACAGATTATAAAGGGAAACTGATGTAGGATTTTTCAGTTTCCTTCTGCAGCAAATATTATATACATGGAGTTGGCTGCAAAAGGAAACTGACAATGGTTATTCAGTTTTGTGTCGTAGCCATTCAGCTGGGCTTATCATTAGAACTGAGCGAATATTTGATTTTTCTTTTTTCAGTTTGGTGGCTTAACCAAAAAAAAACTGGGGGGGACTTGTTTCAGATGGACCCAAAACAGAATTTTTTGGGACGTTTCTTGCTTAAATGAGTCATTTAACCAACAAAATAATTCATTTTTGGTTTTAATTTAATTTTGGGTATTTTTACCATTTTTTGTTTAAATCTAGCTAAATTTGGAAAAGAAACATAGTTTCAAAACGAAGTCAAAATATTCGTTTTGAAAATGTCAAAACAAAGCATTTGACTCTTTTTGGGGGGGGGGAAATTATATACTTTCAGCTGAAAACAATTGCTGAATTCAGCCTGAATTTGCGAGTAATTTCAGTCAACCCAGAACTCCATTTTTTTGGCGAGTAAAATACTGACCTGAAAGATTTTACCCTGCTCTACTTATCTCAGCTTTGCCTACTGCTGCTCTGCTTATCTCCAGGAGCCAGCATATTAGCAAAGTGACAGATCTGCTAGCAAGTGATGAGTTATATTGAACATCAGAAAGTATTAGTACATTATACTGACCCACTTCAACTTCTGATTCCAAACGTGAAGAAAACATAACCCTGTATGGAAAAATATAAACCTTTTTATGTCTCTTCTACCTAAGTAAGTGGAGAAATAGGCTTGATTCTAAAAGTAAAATGTATATTGTATGCCTAGCTATATTAGGGATTTATTGTAGTTAACTCACTATATATAATAGCTAGGTGCCATATTCAGATTAAGAATTATTATGATCAGCTGAAGCTTGGTCTCCTCCATCTTCTCTTAATTTGTGCTCGCTTTCTTAAGTGAGGTATTCTCACTTTCTCCCTCCAGGAAGAAAGGAGTAAACATTGAGAATCAGTTATTGTTATGAGAAGGTTTGCACAATATATATCTTGTACCCTAACGTGAAGGTTATGGCTCTGCCAATACCTGGAGGCAGAGAATTCCTCAGATATGGGTCTGCCAGGGAGAATAAACTGGCGTCCCCGCAATAACTGACTCAGTCAGCTATGTCATTTCCATTGCTGTAGCTGTCTTGGTGGATAAATGAGTGAGAGGTAGTCTCTGAAATGGCTGGTCCTAATTTCCTAGGGGGTTTTAAAGAATAACGTCAGAACTTTTAAACAGATTTGGAGAGAACTGACTGAGAAGCCATTGCAAAATGCAGAGTACTGCTTTGATGTGTAATAAAACACATGCAGAAACATGACCTGTTTATTTATGTACTGGGTACTGAAGTCCTGAAGGAATACATGAAGGGAAATACTTGTTTTTGTGTTTCACTGGTTGTACTCTGCCAATTTTAGGGAAAGGAGAAATGGCATTGGATATTTATGGACTAAATATTGAGACATAGTTTTAACCTATTCCCAATACATTAGTCGCTTTAGTTCACCATGCCAGGTCTAGTATTTCCCAACTCTCAGCATAAGGCAACTTAAATCCTCAAACTTGCTGACTTAATTATCCCAGACACTCAGAGTTGTCTTCCGTGAAAATATCAGATACATTTTTCATCTTCGTTGGAATTACTATTCACATATGTTGAGACGTTGCTGCTGACAAAGTGCATGACCATTGCAGTATCTCAACACATCACTAGCCTTAGGAGAGAACACATGGAGTCACGCCATTCACAATTAATGGTTCTGAATGTGGGAGACAAAGTGGAATAAATCCCCAATATAAGACAGAGTAGGAAGAGTGTGGCGAACATGTAATGATATGTAAGCAGAACTAGTCTAACCTATTTTTCACCATTGCTGTTTCTTTATTTAGGACTTCAGTTCTGATTAATACTGTACAGGTGGTCTCATCTAGCAATCTCCAAGCTCTTCATAAACATTAGGCCTCACAACATCCCATTCAGGCAGTTGTACCCATTTTGCAGCTGGGTGAGCAGAAGTGATTTGACCAACACCACAAAATTAGTGGTAGCATTAGGCATGGAACTCAGAAGTGTGGACTGCCAATCCTTTGAGTGAATCGGTAGACTAAATTGCCTGTGTGAAAATGCAATTCATGTAAAACAGAGGTCAACTTGGGTTTGAAATAAGGGACAGCTGACTAGTACATAGGTGTCCCTGCACATCTGTGATTTATGGCTGTACTAATTAGAGCTGGTAATCAAGGCTAAGGTGGACTGCAAGGTCTCATACCTTCCCACGCGAAGCCTGATTTTTTTGCTGTGTAAATCAGAAGTTGCACTGAAGTCAGTGGAGTTACACACAGCAGTTTTACATCTGGGTGAGAGCAGACTTGCATCTCAATGTTCAAAAATTGCTCTTTGGAGAGACTGTGCTCCTCAGAAGAGAAACGGAGAGGTTCTTTGTATGACCTTGCGTCTGTGTCCTCAGGTGGTGATTAGTGGTATTCTGGACGGGTGAGCAATAAGGCTGAGGAGATTTGTATGGGCATTTGATACAAAAAGGAAGAATGCAGAAGTAAGTTGATATAAATAATCAGCAAGGATGTGTGTGTCTGATGATATTTGTGCCAACTAAATGCTGCCAGGTAAAATTTATTTTCAAGCTAGAACTGACTTGAACATATTCAGCAATTAAAAAGCTTATCATTAGTCTTCTCTGCTATATATTGTTCTCCTTGTCCATCAGCCTGAAGCTTTGTGTGGTTGTTGCCTTAAGTGCAGCAGTGAAGAAAGATAGTACAGAATTTGATTCAGTGGAATGGGGTGTGGGGAACCCAAGTTATTTCCTGACGCAGGGAAGAAAGGTAAGCAGCAGGATACGAACCCTGGACTTCAGGAAAGCAGACTTCGACTCCCTCAGGGAACGGATGGCCAGGATCCCCTGGGGGACTAACTTGAAGGGGAAAGGAGTCCAGGAGAGCTGGCTGTATTTCAAGGAATCCCCGTTGAGGTTACAGGGACAAACCATCCCGATGAGTCGAAAGAATAGTAAATATGGCAGGCGACCAGCTTGGCTTAATGGTGAAATCCTAGCGGATCTTAAATATAAAAAAGAAGCTTACAAGAAGTGGAAGGTTGGACATATGACCAGGGAAGAGTATAAAAATATTGCTTGGGCATGTAGGAATGATATCAGGAGGGCCAAATCGCACCTGGAGCTGCAGCTAGCCAGAGATGTCAAGAGTAACAAGAAGGGTTTCTTCAGGTATGTTGGCAACAAGAAGAAAGCCAAGGAAAGTGTGGGCCCCTTACTGAATGAGGGAGGCAACCTAGTGACAGAGGATGTGGAAAAAGCTAATGTACTCAATGCTTTTTTTGCCTCTGTTTTCACTAACAAGGTCAGCTCCCAGACTGCTGCTCTGGGCATCGCAAAATGGGGAAGAGATGGCCAGCCCTCTGTGGAGATAGAGGTGGTTAGGGACTATTTAGAAAAGCTGGACGTGCACAAGTCCATGGGGCCGGACGAGTTGCATCCGAGAGTGCTGAAGGAATTGGCGGCTGTGATTGCAGAGCCATTGGCCATTATCTTTGAAAACTCGTGGCGAACGGGGGAAGTCCCGGATGACTGGAAAAAGGCTAATGTAGTGCCAATCTTTAAAAAAGGGAAGAAGGAGGATCCTGGGAACTACAGGCCAGTCAGCCTCACCTCAGTCCCTGGAAAAATCATGGAGCAGGTCCTCAAAGAATCAATCCTGAAGCACTTGCATGAGAGGAAAGTGATCAGGAACAGCCAGCATGGATTCACCAAGGGAAGGTCATGCCTGACTCATCTAATCGCCTTTTATGATGAGATTACTGGTTCTGTGGATGAAGGGAAAGCAGTGGATGTATTGTTTCTTGACTTTAGCAAAGCTTTTGACACGGTCTCCCACAGTATTCTTGTCAGCAAGTTAAGGAAGTATGGGCTGGATGAATGCACTATAAGGTGGGTAGAAAGCTGGCTAGATTGTCGGGCTCAACGGGTAGTGATCAATGGCTCCATGTCTAGTTGGCAGCTGGTATCAAGTGGAGTGCCCCAAGGGTCGGTTCTGGGGCCGGTTTTGTTCAATATCTTCATAAATGATCTGGAGGATGGTGTGGATTGCACTCTCAGCAAATTTGCAGATGATACTAAACTGGGAGGAGTGGTAGATACGCTGGAGGGGAGGGATAGGATACAGAAGGACCTAGACAAATTGGAGGATTGGGCCAAAAGAAATCTGATGAGGTTCAATAAGGATAAGTGCAGGGTCCTGCACTTAGGACGGAAGAACCCAATGCACAGCTACAGACTAGGGACCGAATGGCTAGGCAGCAGTTCTGCGGAAAAGGACCTAGGGGTGACAGTGGACGAGAAGCTGGATATGAGTCAGCAGTGTGCCCTTGTCGCCAAGAAGGCCAATGGCATTTTGGGATGTATAAGTAGGGGCATAGCGAGCAGATCGAGGGACATGATCGTTCCCCTCTATCCGACATTGGTGAGGCCTCATCTGGAGTACTGTGTCCAGTTTTGGGCCCCACACTTCAAGAAGGATGTGGATAAATTGGAGAGAGTCCAGCGAAGAGCAACAAAAATGATTAGGGGACTGGAACACATGAGTTATGAGGAGAGGCTGAGGGAGCTGGGATTGTTTAGCCTGCAGAAGAGAAGAATGAGGGGGGATTTGATAGCTGCTTTCAACTACCTGAAAGGGGTTTCCAAAGAGGATGGCTCTAGACTGTTCTCAACGGTAGCAGATGACAGAACGAGAAGTAATGGTCTCAAGTTGCAGTGGGGGAGGTTTAGATTGGATATTAGGAAAAACTTTTTCACTAAGAGGGTGGTGAAACATTGGAATGCGTTACCTAGGGAGGTGGTAGAATCTCCTTCTTTAGAGGTTTTTAAGGTCAGGCTTGACAAAGCCCTGGCTGGGATGATTTAACTGGGAATTGGTCCTGCTTCGAGCAGGGGGTTGGACTAGATGACCTTCTGGGGTCCCTTCCAACCCTGATATTCTATGATTCTATGTTTCTAGTCCTTCTTCAAATCTGAGTTTTTATTGGCGTTTTTCAGACCTATTTCTATGTGGTGCTATTGTGGTCAAGTGAAATTAATGGAAAAATTTAGATTAAAGTATTATTGTGCAAATGGTTAGACAAAAATGAAGTTTACAATTTTTTTCTTCCCTTATTTTCTTTCAGGACTAACACAGTCATTCTCATTGATGCAGAAGGACATGTTACTTTCACAGAGCGCACCATGCTCAATGCAGATATCAACCAATGGAAAACAAGCACCTATCAGTTCGAACTGCAGACTTAACAACTTTCCATTTGAATGAATCATGATAAAAGAAACAAGAGAACAAGCTATTGAACTCCAGTGAAGGCTTTGTACCAGCCTCCAGCACCCTGAGATGGAAAGGAAAAGCTTATTAAATCCATAGCATACCCTAGCAACTACTAAAACCTTTTGCACAAAACCAAGGGAAGAAAGTTTTTACAGTAAAATTTTGGCTGGATTAAAAATGTTGCTTTTTGTGCAAGTCTTTATTTTAAGTTTCAAGGACACAGTTTATTTTCTAGGCATGATTTTTAAATTATGTTGTTAATATCTAGGCGATTGATCCTGCAAGGTATTGAGTGCTTCTTACGAGGTGCTAACTGCCCCTAGTTCCTTTTGATTTCAATCAGAGCTGAAGGTATGCAGCACCTTGGAAGATCAAGTTCTACGTTATTAAAGTTCAAAGATTTTCAGAATGTAACTTAAACCTTCAGAATCAATCGTGATAACTTTTCACACTTCGCTCAGCTTGGCCAAAGACAAACTAGTCAGGTACACATTTATTTATGGTTGATTTCTAGTCACTTTGTGAACTGGCATAACTATGTCATGTGACTTCTGGAAATGATCCCTGGGAATGGTGGTTATGTGAATTATAAAAAAAATTCCATTGGAATTTTACAAAGAAACATTTCTATTGATCATAGACCATAAAGGTTTTAGAAAATCTGTCTGCCTTTTCAACATATGCTTGTAGGATTTTTTGATCATGGATGTGGGCATCGATGAATGTATGTTACGTTCGCAGACTGGGTTGTTTTAGTGTAATATAACAATTTTTCAGACATACAATGGTGCAGTGTTCTGCACAGGGAAAAGGGTTGTTATTCTTCACAAGTCTATTTTCCCTTAAGTTGTACAGTGTTGAGTAAAGTGATTTATGTAGTATTGTCTTTCTCATTTGTATCCAATACTTGTTTCTGATGAGGGAATGAAACTGAAGTTTGGGTCTGTGCTCTTTAATCTCTTGTTCAGGAGAGATTAAAGCATCATGGAGTGTGATGGGCTCCCTCTCTGAAGTGAAGGAATCAGCTGCTCTGTATTGTGGCACCTTGTTGCCTGCAGTCTAACCAGCAATGTAGGCCTCTTTTTTCTTCTAGACTGATAACTAGTAGGATATGTTTTCAAACAAAAAGTGAACTATATGAAGTTTATACTTATGCTTTTTGGTAAGCTTTGGTTTTAGCTTTATTTCTGTACTGGTATAATGTGTTAAAAGCTGGGAGTGATTGCTGATATTTTATGGTAGAATAGAATATTTGTTACCTGGTGACATATTACAATATTATAGTGCTGGAAAAAGTTAGGTGTTAAAATACACTTCCCATGTTCCTTTAAGCTGTAAATTATAAAGCTGGTTATTTAAATGTATTTTTTCTTTCCATTAGTCAGTGCCAATAGTGGGTGATGGAGAGAATCTCTTGCTAATGTCAAAGTATTTTAAAATCCAAGATTATTTTGCTGCCGTTATAGTTGTACTGTAACTTACTCCAAATGCCAAACCTTAAATACTGATTTGACTCATTGACTCCCTCCTCCCCCTTCATTGAGTGTGTTCTTTACTGTGATCAGAGAATTGTAGAAAGGGTTGCAATATAGCAGTATTTCCTATATTGCTCATAGAGAAGTTCAGTTGTTTTCTCTACTCCGGGCCTATTATTTTGTACTGAAATGCTTAGCGGAAACTAAGGCCTCTTAGGGTGTCATCTGTGGTGTGAGTGGAAACCAGATTTCTCATTGGGGTTCTAATAGGACTGCAAAAGGCCATTTCCAGAGTAATGACTGTCTGGCGATACCAAAGCAGTATTCAAATTAGTTATTTCCCTCTTATGATCATTTTAGATAAGAGTTTTGCCTGTTTAAATATTTCTAGTGATACCAGGCTACTCTCTCATGCTTAATTGAGCATGCGGTTAAGTGCTTTGCTGGATCAGAGCCATACTGTGTAACAAATGCACAAGTGCACCTTCGAACAAATTTTAAGGACCAGACTGCTATCACAATCACAGTTATGCCTGTTTGTGACTCATGCACCTGGATGGTTGCATTGAACTTCATTTCAAGTGCGGGGGACTCCTGGATTTCCTTCTCCTGAGCTATGGAAGGAGTTTAATGTTTCTTTACATGGCTATTTATTCTATCAATTAAATTCACTGGTGTGTGTGTGTGTGTGTATAATCTGTTGTACTTGCAAACATAATGAATATAAACACAGAAGCAAAAAATAGTCCATAATCAGGAATATATGGAATTACATTATCGTTTACAATTAATGGTAAAAAATATCTCATTCAGACAGATTCTATAACCCAGCCAGTTGGTATTCCGTAGTGGCAAAGGATTCTGATTTAGTTCTGTCAGTGTTTGATTGAGCCTTGAACCTCTAAGCTTTTGTAAATGTAGTACTAAAAAACTGTTTTTAAATTTGAGATTGGCAAGTGTGCATTTAACTTTTGTTGTTACTAAAAGTATTTTAACTCATCATTCACAGTCTATTTATATATGTCAGAAACACTGCCAAAGTATGAATGGCTAAAATTTGACCTACATTTAAACTTGTTACCTACATTTAAACATATTACCTTCATAGAAAGTAGAAATATTTGCAATTGCTTTTCATCCTCAAAATGTTGTACAAACATCAATCTTCAGAACAATCCTTTGAGGTAGGTAAGTATGAAAATGAAGTATTAACCCATCTTACAGATGGGGAAATTGAGACAGAGGCTTATCACCTTAGCCAGAGGCAGATTGTCGGTGTCGGAGCTTGGATTCGACCACAGGAGATCTTAACGCCCTTTCCTACAATTTAAATCAATCTCTTGATGGCTGGGTTTTGTATTTGTTCAATATATCCAACTTCTAATTGCTGAGAGTTTAAAATGAAAAAGACCATTGGGGGGGGGGGGGGGGGGGGGCTCTACAAAATATGTAGAGTTCCTCTGCTGGCTGTATCATAGCAGTAATACAGTGACCCCTAGCTTACTCTTGTGGAAGTTTATGGGAGTTTTGCCCTTGACTTCAGTGGAAACATAATCAGGCTCTCTATTCCCAGAGCTGCACTGATATCAGCAATGGTACTAGAGCATGGAAATGTTGAGGTATAATTATTTGTATAAGCTGGTGTTCATTGCTAAGTGCTAATTTTAGTTGCATTCAATCACTGGAAAAAATCAACTATAACCAAGTGATGACAAAATTGACAGAGAAGGCATTTTATTTTTATAAGGTATTTTAAAAAGAGGGAATATCAAATGTAAAACTACAAATTAGATTATTGGGTGACATGTTTTTCAGTTTCTTGCTGTGAAATTAATTTGTGTGGGGTATCTTTTTAAAGTCATAAGGTTACAGCAGCTTTTTCTCCTACCAAACAGTTTTTTCCACTGTGATGATAATTAGAAGGAATTTATAAATACTATTTATAAATCTTGATTCCAAGTTTTTGCCTTTTTAAGCTATTTTAAATTTTGTCATTTGTATATCTGTATTGAAAACCAGAGTCCGAATAAATTGTTTGGTGACCAAATCTTTGCCGCCCTAATAAATTGTGTACGTGTTTTGTACCTGTGTGCACATGGGATGGGGTAAGGAGACACTCAGTGATGTAACGGGGAGTAGAAATAAGAGAGAGATGTAGAATGACATCTGTTTCCAACACGTTCACTTTTTTTCTTTTAGGGTGGCTTTTTCAAAACCGCTCAGCATTGGCCTAGCAGTATGACCAAAAGGTTAATACATAACAGAACAGGAAGGAAGCTATGGTCACGTGCCAGTGTTCAGCTGCACAAGTTTGACACACTTTTTCAGTAAATTTCTCTGTGGATTGTGGGAATAAATACTCAAAATTAAATGCACAAATTCTTTTGGAAATGGGGTGGAAATTGCATATTGTGTTTGAGTAGATGAACGGATACAATACAAGACAAATGAACTGAGTGGCTTTGCCCACTTCGGCTCAGAGGCAGGCATATACACACATTGCTTTTCTGGTGGCACCAATATAGTACATCCCTGCAAGAACCTGTTTGATGTCTTTCCCTCACTCCTCCTTTCTCTGCAATAGAGCTGTAGCTTGTGCTAACTTCTTTTTTCCTCTCTCATCTCATCATGAGCATTTTTGTCACCTTCTGTCAGCTTGTGGAATCCCCTCTACGTAGTGCCGTATTCTTCAGTCTGTACCTCTTCACACAGCGTGGCGTGGGAGAGGTACTGGAGGCAAATTTCCTCAGCAGAATCCACCTTGCACCTTCCTGTGGCCTTAGCCATCTGCTAGTACTTGCTGCACAGCCCTCCTTGCAGCTTCTCAGAATTCAGACTAGCCCTGTGCCACACCTTTTGCCAATGTCTTTCTTCTAAGCCGCTTCCCCTTTTCTCAGCGGGTTTAACAAATGCCACTCCATGCACAGCAGGACCAGATGGAAAATGTGAAGCCCCTCTAACAACCCATGGCTGTCTCTCTCCATGTCACAGCCTCTGGTTCCTCTTGGATCCTTCGAGGAAGCATTGGGAACATAATTACTAATCCTTACGTAGATATGTAGGGAAGTCATTCAGTGCTTGCTCATATATCTTTCCCTGTTGGTGTGCAGTCACCCCATGCACTCGAGTTTGGGTATTTTTGCCCAGCACTGTCTGTTAGGACCCACACCTGCACCCTGAATGCCTTTGTGACTCCCGCCCGAGAGCATAAATGGTGGGACAACCCTACCCATCCTTCAGTTCCTTCTCACTGCCTGTGGCTGAGTCAGAACTTTGGCAGTATCCAAGCCTCTTGCTCACTCTCTAATCCCTTCCTGTTTTTTGTAAATAGTTGTAGTGCCACAGCTGTTTAGGATTGCTTTGTACATCGTGTTTCATTTCTTTTTTTAAAATAAAACCCTGTTTTTCTCTGAGACTTCACCCAGTTTTGGTCCACCCTTTATGTTGGAACTGAAGTCTTCAGGATTTGAAAACTGTCCTTGTAAGGCAGTAATATCTGTTACTGATGGGCATATGAGGTGTTTGTTTCCCCTGGAAAGATTCTAAGCCATAGTAGATCATCAGTTATATACAAGGCCATTCTCAGACGTCAGTAGGAGCTTGCCTCAGACTTCTGGGACACGTGACCTCCTGCACATACATTTCTCAGCATCCCAGATTTCATCTTCACTGCATGCCAGAGAGGTTGAAATTTGTATATCAGTCCAACAGACATAATCTAGACATGAAGGAGCATGGCCCCCAGAAGTCTTGGTGAAAGTGTCCTCTAAAAGTATACAAAGGAGTTCTCTTCTCTCCACCATACCTATCAAAGACTTTGGAGAAAGACGCCTCCAGTCTCGACAGTCTTCACACTCAAGCCCTATGGATTCCTCAGGAAAACTGTCACAGCATTCCTCCCAATTCTGAGAGGTCTAATGATTCGGATCATGATGGACAACACCTCAGCAATGTTTTACATCAATAGGCAAGGCAGAGTAAGATCCACCCCCCTTGTCAAGAAGCTGTGCATTTACTTGAGAAGCACTTCACTTACCAGGCTTGCAGAACGTTCTGGCAGACTACCTCTGCAGGTAGTTTACAAATGCCAACGAATGGTCAGTGAAGGACACCGTCAAACGGGACATATTCATCATATGAGGTCAACCCTCTACAGACCTACAGACTTCAATGGGAGAAAACAAAAAATGTCACTTGAATCTGTCAGATGTGTTGCTGATGCCCTGGGCTAGGGGTCTAACCTGTGTGTATACTCTGTTTCTGCTAATTCCAAGAGTAATCAGAAAACTCGGGACTCTGCCAAGATCATTATATTGGCACTGGCTTGGCAAAGGCAGTTCTGGTTCTCGGACCTGATAAATCTCTCCATTCGACGTGCAGTCCCATTACCTCTTCAGCCAGATGTGATATTCTGAAGGAAGGGACAGATTCTCCATGTGCACCTCACAGCATGGATGCTGGCTGGTTAACAGTAGAGAGGATCCACTCTTTGGAGGTACAGAATGTTCTTATCCACATTAGAAAAGATTTTATAAGGCTAGCTTACTCTTTCGAATGAAAGAGATTCACTGTCTGGGCTCAGCAACTTCAGTTTATCCTAATCTGTAACTCAAATACTTGATATACTAGAATGCCCTTCGTCCTTAAAGAATTCAGGACCATCCATGAGCTTTGTAAGGGTCCCTCTAGCAGTCATTTCAGCTTTCCATCTTCCTATGTGAGGTCATTCAATGTCCTCCCACCCTAGAGTAGCTAAGTTCCTGAAGAGTCTTCTGCGGGTACATCCCCCAATCAAAGAGGCTTGTCCTCCTTGAGAATTCAACTTAGTGCTGACAGTATTGATGGGTCTTCCCTTTGAGCCCTTAGCTACCAGTCCCCTTTTCCACCTATCCATTAAAATAGCCTTTCTAGTAGCAGTGGGTGGGAGAAATATAAGCTGTCATGGAGGGATCTCCATATGCTGTATTTCATGAAGACATGGTAACCTTGAGGTCTCACCCAAAGTTTTTCCCAAAGGTAATCGGACTTCCATCTCAACCAAGTAATACACCTGCCTGTCTTCTTTCCAAAGCCACATTCCAAGAAAGGGTAAGCTAAACTTCACATCTAACATATAGTTAAGAATGGATGCTATCCTTCTATCTTAATAAGACTATTCCTTTTAAAGTGTCCCCACAGGTATTTGTAGCTAATGCAGATGGGGTGAAAAGTCAGGTTATGTCAACAGTGAGAGTACCTAATTGGATTTCTACATGTATTAAATTATGTTATGAAATAGCTAATTTAGACCAATCATTGAGGGTTACAGCCCACTTCACCGGGGCTCAAGCAACTTACTCAACATCTGAGAAATTGTCCACTGTGGAAATATATAGGACAGCAATTTGGGGTTTGATGTATACTTACTCACCATTACTCCATAGTAAAAGCATCAAAATCTGATGCTCATTTTGGCAGAGCAGTTTTACAATCACTGTTCAGATAGGCTCCTAACACCTGCCTCCTGTGATCAGGTTATTGCTTGTGGGTCTGAGCTGTGAAGAAGAAATGGCTACTTACCTTTACAGCAATTGTGGTTCTTCTTGATGTGTGTCCCTTATATTATTCCATGACCCCCCTCCTTCCTTGCTACTATGGAGGCCTGTACCATTTGGATTCTCCATTGACAAAGGAGCTGAGGAATTTTTGGGGGGGTCATGCTGCCCGTTATACCTTCAGGTGAGAGGCACAAGGGCAATCAAGATGTAAACATGTCCCCAATGGACACTGCTGGCTAAAAGAATCCAAACTTGGGTGCATGCATACTAACAGTGGAAAATATATATATATATGGTGAATACATCCTGAAGAAGATCATACATCTGTGAAGTTAGCATTTATTTTCCTCTCCCCTCCGGATCCCAAAAACAGGGTGTGGAAACCTTTCTAGGCCACCCCAAAGTTAAAGCTGCTTATGGTTTTTCCCTTCCTCCTTTCTCTTATGCTATCTGTTTAGTCATCTCCCAAACAAGGGCCAAGAAAAAAGATTTAAGATGGAGGTCAAAAATCTGAGAGAACCTGGCACTTGCCTTCCTCTGAGGATTTACTCCTCTCATCTTCATCGTCCTCACAGTCCAACTTAGAAGAAGGGCATATCTAGGGCCATAAGGACCTAGATAATATTGGAGAACAGGTTCAATTGACAAAGGTGAAGACCTACATGAAATGAGTTTTCTGTACTCTTTTTTTTCCCAATCCTAGATTCCCTGGGGAACAAGATTGGTGACCTGAATGGTTTTAGCTAGATCATAAGAGATTCACTAGTTGCACTTGTCACAAATTATGTAATCTCAAAAGATTGACTTCTGTCCCTAAAACAGATGCCCTGCACACAGGTTCCCCAGAAAGGCAATGATTCCGTTTGTGGGTCCTGCCTCTCTTAATGTAACTAACATATGTACAGCACAATCCTTTGCTAGGTTTTCTCTGCTTTTATTGAAGATGTGGTGTACATGATCACCTTCAGGTTTCACTTTCCTGGTTCTGCCTTCATGAAGTCCTAAAAGCAAAGGTCTTAGAGGCTTGCTCTTCTACCTGTCTCTTGTCTGTGACCACTCAAGCAAGATAACCTGATACTTCTTGATAGTGAGACACAATATATGGCTTTGAGCAACAGATGCAGATTTGACACCTGATTCTATGATATCTTACATCAGTCTAACTCCACTGATTTCAGTCAAATAACAGAGGAGAATTGGACCCAATCAAAATGTGCCAAGCAAACTCATAAAGTGGTAGGAACTGCTGACAAAAGAGAATAAACTTGCTTATTCTTGCCTCTAAGGTGAAATGGGTGGAGCTATCCAGCAGTGTTGTGAGACTAGCAGAGGTTGCTCTGAGAAGACTAACTATTAAGACAAAATTGTCCTAATTTTGGTCAATGTGGTGGCATGTTACAAGGAGACACTGAATTCCCAGATAAACCCATGACTAACATGCAATCAAGAAGCATTATTTGACCAACTATCAAGGCACTTGAGTAAATTGTAAAGGATGTTTGAGAAACACCTTATTAACGGATCTAAAA